AGAAGAAGGGGAGATAAGGACGATAGATGTTTGATAGGAAAGAAGAAGCAAACCACACCAGAGCACCTGCCAACCACCAACGCAATGTACCTGAGCCGACCTTTTAAGAATGGTTCATGCATACAAACATCTTATCCAGGCCTTTCTGAGCACACACTGAGTTAATTCTACTCAGGAGCATACGGTAGAGTGGATGCAACTCAGAATGAATGGTGCTGGCGACATACCATACTATACAAACACACGTACCTATCACAATAGAAAGTTATCAAATAATCCCGTCAGTTGATTGTTTGATAACGGAGTCCCCTGTCTAGGCCTTGGTAGGAATCCCAACTGCACATGAGTTTAAGTCCAAGGATAAACAAAGCAAAGCCATAGTCTCAGTCTAAATTTCACTGAAGTTATCCAAAAATTTCACGAAAAGACTTTTTACTGGACCACAATACTCCCTCACTGTAATCTATTTATTGGGACAAATTATTGCAAGGCTTCATAAAGACTATTAGATCTATTGGGAAAGAAATTACTTCACACACACACACACACAAAAAGAATAATACCATAGAATCATAACAACCCACAATTATGGAAATATGTACACGAAGCAATTAAGCATGTGTGGGAATGTGAAACTATTCATAGTTACAAAACAATAAAAAGACTATCAATGTTTATAAGCTTGACTGACAACAGAAGAATAAGGTTTGAGCCAAAGAGTGTCCTAACCAGATTTTTTTTCTGATACTTCCCTAACAGTTCCTTCCTCTCTCCCTCTGAGACCTCTAACATGGACAACACACTCTATGGAACATTACAGCAACTGCGGCAAACCTGCGCTCGTCACTACATGATGGCATTGGACAGAAGGGTGAGAGCCCAGCTGTTGCTGGACAGATGACAACACTAACCCTTCCATTCAGCGAGGTGTCCAAATGAGATGCCAGGCCACGGAGGAAACGTCCCGTCGTCAAAGTGACCACTATGCTCATTATCCGAAAGTGAAAATCAAACAGCAGCAAGAGGAAAAGTTTTCAGTGACAGTGCCACAGTTCTCATGGCACCTTATTGCAACACAACAATACTCATTCACACCATAAGTGCAGAGGCTTTTCAGATATAAAAATTACAAAGCGGCCACCATTTCAAAAGCAATAATTTCACTCTTCAAACCCTTTTTCCTCTCAAATCTGCAAATACTCACTAACAATGCAAACAATAACCTTCAAGTAACTTTGAAACAAAAATGCGAAAAAAAACCCTGCAGCAGGCCAACAACGTCAACTCAACTGAAACATTCTCCGAACAAAAGGAAACAAGTTAGGAGCAAGACATTGACCGCTGCGAAGAAGGAAAAACTTCCGAAACTATAAGTGGGTCACATAAGTGTTGGTTTTGCTGAAAGCAGCCAAGCTTGCTGTACAGCTGAGGAATCCCTCCTTCCTCGGCAGGAAAGACAAAACTATTTGCTAGACACATAATACTGTTGGCTGAAGATAGCTGCTTCTACAGGATGGGAACAGGATTCAGAACTAACAGGAGCATTCGCTGCTATCAGCACAGCCATTTCAATTTATTGAGAAAATGACAACGTGTCTGGCATTATATGAAAATGTGTTTAAATTTTCTCTCTTTATGTATTATATATATAATACATTAGACAAAAAGAACTTAAAATCTTAAAATGAGAAAGAAAAGTCTTCTTCCGTACTTTTGGACTGGAAATAAGAAATCTGGGTAAGATAAATTAATCTAACACAAGAAGATTCTGTAAAGATTCTGCTTGTATACAGGGGTACTCGGTACCAGTTTTTCCCACAAATTTCTGGAACTGTTGAAAACAAATAAAAGATCATCCTTACATATTTTTTTTTTTCCTTCTTTTTTTTTTCTTTCATCTTTTCTTCCTTTGCTCCTCTATTTGAACAAGATATCAGCTTTCTTACACTTTGCTATCAAATAAGTAGGAGAAATCCAACAACGCCCAAGGGGATACGTCATTATGTACAGATTGCATATCACCAGACGCTACAGACGCTACAGCCGCTACTCCTTCCCTTACATAAAAAAAAAAAATCTACACTGCAAATCGACTGCTTTGTGCAAGACTCTTGCCATACGCCATTTCGAAAAGTGACCTCTGACAGAGTCTTACAACAGAGAAGTCGTAATGGGAGTTCCAAATTCCACGGACTCGGTAAGTTGTCTGGGTTCATAATGTTCAAAGTTGTACTCTCAAAGCATTCATTTCTTCTCCACAAGACGTACAACGGAACAATGTACAGTATGTTGTCAATGGTGTGGTGTCACCTTTAGAGAAACAACAGAATGAAAGGCACAAATTGCACTGTAAAAGGGGGGGGGAGATGGGCGTGACACTTCCAATATGGTCGCATAAAACTGATAAACTGAAAAAAAAAAAAAAAAAGACAAAATGTTTAATAAAAAGGGGGGGGGGGGGGTCGGGACCAAATGAGTGTGCAGTCTACTTTACTCAAGACTGTCGAAAAAATGAAACAAAGTGCCTTCTGAAGAAGTCATCCCCAGCAGTTTTTTGTGGTTAGAGGGCATTAAAAGGACACGAACCCGGCCCTGTTTCATCCTCGTTCAACCACTCGGTTTCCTTTGAATACGAAATGGCGGCAGTCACACAACCCTAAGTCAACGGGAGGGCAAAGCTTTCTGTGCTACGACAAAGACGCTACCACATGGGCATGACCTTGGGAGCCTCTTCTTGAGCCGGAATAGGACGCGATGACGAAGTGGACATTCGCCGCAGGCCGAGCTCTGCCTGCTTTGGCATTCCGCTGTTGCCCAGAGTGGCGTGGCTATCGCGGTCAGACTGCGCAGAATGTTGGACGCCCATGCTCTTCAGCTCTCCCTCGTCCAGCATTTTGAACTCCAGCTCACAGTCAAACACGTCCTGGAAAGACCTGGAACAACAGAAAGAAACACACAATAAAACTAAGTTGCTCATCATACTAGTTTACTGCTAGACTTGTAAGCGACTAATAAACACAGGTCTTTAAAAATTTTTTTAAGGCACTTACAACACAATAGGATATACATGTATATTATGCCAAAGATTAGAGGTGCTACAAGAGAGTAACATACACAAAAAAGAAGGAGAAAAGAAAAGGACGATAGATGTTTGATAGGAAAGAGGAAGCAAACCACACCAGAGTACCCACCAACCACTCAAGAACGCCACTAAAAAAACAAGAGGAGGAGAGATAATGAGGATAGACGTTCAGTTTATTTTAATTTGGTAAAAGTTTTATGTTGCTCACAACTGCAACTGGATTGATGGATTTGATGTTTGACAGGAAAGAAGGAGCAAACCACACCAGAGCACCTGCCAACCACCCAGTAAGACATGGTCTAAGTCTAATGTTGTGGACAAACACATGTTTTCGTAAAACGTAAACACCAAAACGACTTTGAAAAGGCAGAAAATTTCACTTCTTGACTTAAATATAAACATGTTTTTAGAAATTATGGGTAAGATTGGGGGGGGGGGAAAGAGGATAAAGAGGAAAGTGACACTATCAAAGACCGGAGTTTGAATAAATGTTAGTTTTTTAATAGAGGTTTTACGGCGCTCACAACTGCATAAGGTCATATAAGTGCCGAAGATTAGAGGTGCTACAAGGGAGTAACAAACACAAAAAAGAGAAGGAGGGGAGAAAAAGTCGACAGATGTTTGATAGGAAAGAAGGAACAAACCACACCGGAGCCCCTCTCAACTACCCATGGTAAAGAAAGAGGTACAGGGTATGAGGACAGAA